TTTAAGCTTTCAACTGAGACTGTTTTTCCAAATTCATTCTGATTAACCTGAAACCCAACACCAACGATTTACATAAGTCATAATACACCACACGGGGAAAGTCATACCCAAGAACTGGAGAGCAAAGTGCAAAAGCTCAAAACGACTGGTCAGGTCGTTACACTCTCTTTGGAGACTGCAAGGTAGTTGCTAGCATCCGCAGGGCCTTGTTACTCCTCTTGTCATTTCTTCTTTTGGACAGTTAGATAGTTTATATATCTTAGTTCATAGTTTCAGACGCTCATGACTTAGTGACACCCCGATGTTTAGGGCTAGCTTCCGTATATTTATATTAATTATATTTAGAGTTGATTTAGTTTATGAGAAATTTGAATATTGGTATTGTTATATTAAATCCTTAAAATTAATTAGTAGTAATATTTTGGAAAATAGGCTTGCCTTGTAAAACGATAGGCGCCATCACGACATGGTTAGATTTTTGGTCGTGACAAGTTGGTATCAGAGCCTAGGTTACATAGGTCTCACGAGTCATGAGCGGGTTTAGTATAGTCTTCCGGATCAGTACGGAGACGTCTGTACTTATATTCGAGAGGCTGCAGAACCTTTAGGAAAAGTTCACATTCTTGAATTCTTATCATACTGTATTGATTCAGGTTGAAGTGTAACTCTTTGAATTCCTTCCACGCATTCATATGCGCACATGAGCGCTCGATATCATTTTTGCATCGATGGATTGTGATTTTCTGGATGAGGTGTGAGATGTGATTTCTGTGTGTTGATATTGGGCCAGTCTAGAGGACTTCAGGCCGAATTTTGACTGTAGCTTGATCACTGAGGTATTGATTGTGTGAGCGTGTGCTTGTGGACTTATATGTTCGGTAATGTCCCTATTAGTGAAAATAGTGGCTGGATGGATACATGATGAGTATGATGTAACCGCGATATGGGTTCATATGATTTGAATATGACGAGAAGGTATTGCTGAAGGTTTCACCTATCTGAGACTCCAGGTATGTTTTTAGACTCATTCGAGGACGAACGTTTGTTTAAGAGGGGGAGGATGTAACGACTCGGCCGTTCGTTCTAAGAGTTATAGCCCCATATCCCCCATCTATGCTTATTTATGTGTTGTTCAGCTGTGTTGAGTTGTATCCACTTGGTAGGTTTAGGTTCGGAGTAGTTTTGGAATGAAGTGAACACTTAGTCTCTTAATTAGGAAGCTAAGTTAGAAAAGTCAACCGGGAGTTGACTAAGGAGTAAACGAATTCGGATTTAGATTTTTATGATTCAGTTGCTTTGTTAGGTGATTTTAGATTTAGGAGTGTATCCAGAATATAATTTGAAGGTCCGTGGTAGAATTAGGCTTGAATTGGCGAAAGTTGGAAGTTTAGAAGCTCTTAGGATTGAATTCGAGGTTGATTTGGTATTTTGGGTATTTCGGAGGTTCGACTAAGTTCGGGTAGTGATATATGACTTTTCAGAATTATTGGTTGAGGTCCCGAGGGCCTCGGGTGAGTTTCGGATAGGTTTGGATTATGTTGCGCTCGTTTTTCTTATGTTTCGATGTTGTTTGTTCAAGCATAAATGATATCGTATTGAACAAATGAGCTCCGATTTCTTTTTTTTTATTAAAGCATTAGATCTGTATCGTAATTACGGACCAATAGCAAAAAGAATCATCGAATTTGGACATCGTATGAGGATATGGTCATTTTATTAAGAATTAGGTTGCTAGATTTTTCAGATTAATTATGAAATTGTCATTGATGACGTATTTAAAAATCTGCATTATTTGCAAATACTAAAACCTACATATCTCATTCATTATAAGGTCAAATTGAGTAATTCAAAAGTCTAACTTGACTAGAATTTCACAAGGAATCTATTGGAGGCATAAAACATGACTTTCGGGATTGTTTGGCAAGAGAAACGAGTCAGAATAGCTGGCAGAAAAATAAATAAAACTAGGGTTTGTTCATTCGGTCATATTTTGAGTTGGGGAGCTCAGATTTGGGTGATTTTGGAGGTGATTTTCATCATATGGATTGGGGTAAGTATTCTTTACTCGGTTTTGGTTATATTACATTAATCCATAATTGTTTTTGGGATTTGATTGATGATTTCCAAGTGAAATTGAGGGAGTTAGAGTTTGAGTTTGTAGAGTTTTAAGTGAGGATTTGAGGGACCAAATAGAGTCCGATTTTGATAAATTTTATATGGTTAGACTCGGGAGAGAACGAGGTTTATTATTCTTCTATTTTTGAGTGATTCCGAGATGTGTGCCTGGGGGCCAGATTTTGGCTGATTTCGAATTTTTGGCATATTTTGTAGTTTTTGTTGTGGAATTAGATTCTTATGCACATGGTGATGGTATTAATATGATTATGGTTAGATTCAGAGCTTTTGGAGACCGAGTCCAGAGACGAGGGCATCCCGAAGTAGGATTTTATGTGGTTGAGGTAAGTAATAGCTTTAACTCTGGCTTTGAAGATATTAATACCATAGCGCGAGAGTTGTTCGCGTAGCACATGAGTTGACCGTGCGGGTTTAGGTATTTATACCATAGCGTGTGAGTTGTCCGCGTAGCACGTGAGTTGACCGTGCAGATCCAGGTATTGATATGATGGCCTAGTTGTATGGATATTAATACCGTAGTGCGTGAGTTGTCCGCGTAGCATGTGAATTGACCATGCGGGTCCAGGTATTGATACTATAGCGCGTGAGTTATCCACGTAGTATGTGACTTGACCGTACGGATCCAGGTATTTATATGATGGCACGTCAGTTGTCCGTGCTTAGCGCTTGGGCTTTGGGAGCCCCTCCAGAGTTTGTACACACACCCAGTGAGCCGCAGAGTGTTGAGTGTATTGAGTGTTGAGTTTTGAGTTTTGAGTGTTGAGTGCGAGTGATGAGTAATGGAGTGACATTGTTGTGAAGTTGCATTTACTTTTACTGTTGCTGCATTTATCTGCTAAATTTCTTTGTGGTATTTACTGAGTTATGGAATTTACCTGTTATTTTTAAAATTATAAAAATAAATAATTGGACTGTTTTACTTAGCTCGTCACTACTGCTTAGTTCCTTAGTTATTTTCGTTACTACTGAGGTGGTTGTACTACTACACATTGCACTTTATGTGCAGATCCGAGTGAGTTAGAGCGCGACGATTGTTGAGTTCAGGCCAACTATCTTTGGAGACTGCAAGGTAGTTGCTAGCATCCGCAGGGCCTTGTTACTCCTCTTGTCATTTCTTCCTTTGGACAGTTAGATAGTTTATATATTTTAGTTCATAGTTTCAGACGCTCATGACTTAGTGACACCCCGATGTTTGGGGCTAGCTTCCGTATATTTATATTAATTATATTTAGAGTTGATTTAGTTTATGAGAAATTTGAATGTTGGTGTTGTTTTATTAAATCCTTAAATTAATTAGTAGTAATATTTTGGGAAATAGGCTTGCCTTGTAACACGATAGGCGCCATCACGACATGGTTAGATTTTGGATCATGACAGATGGGTTGGTCGCATTTGCGAACTCGCATTTGCGATCCCGGATTCGCAAATGTGAAGCCTGTAGGCCTGCAACATACCAGTTAAACATCTGCAACATCCTAAGTTAAATTCCACCTCGTGGCGTATCCAAAACTCACCCGAGCCCTCGGGGCTTCAAACCAAACATGCACACCAACCTAAAAACACCATACGGACTTGCTCGTGAAATCAAATCTTGAAAATAACATGTAAAACCATGAATTAAGCCTCAAAAACTCATCATTTTTATCAAGAATACTTAAAGTTCACAACTCTTCAACCGAAAGTCCAAATCACGTCAAATAGACTCTATTTTCCCCCAAATTTCACTGTTATCCTTTAAATACTATAACAAATTTGTACCGGGATCCGAAACCAAAATAGGGGTCCGATACCAATGGTTTCAACCATTAACTTTTTTCTTTATTTCATAGATAATTTAGCAAAATAATTTCTCCCAAAAATTGATTTCTAAGGCTTGGGACCTCAGAATTCATTTCCGGGCATACGCCCAAGTCCCATATTTTACTGTGGTCTTCTCGGGATTGTTGAAATACGGATCCGGGTCCGTTTGCTCAAAATATTGACCAAAGTCAACCATAATCAAATTTTTAACTCTAGAAATTTCTCTTTCTCATATTTTCACATAAAAGACTTTCTGGATATAGGTCTGGACCACGCACGCAAATCGAGGTGAGGTAAAAAGGAGTTTTTAAGGTCTCGGAACACAAGATTTGTTTCTAAAACGAGTGATGACCTTTCGGGTCAACACACCGGCCCATATGTATTCATGACTTAAGAAAATGGTTCAATAATACAGTGTTGTCCACCTATAGTTATACATTATGAGTTGTAGTCATGTTGACCCATGATAGTTAGAAGGGAAAAAAAAGAGCTGCAAAGTGGTTCGCTCGGGCCAGTGCGGCACCGGGTACCAGCCACGCCTTCCCAGGTTTGGGAGTGACAATTTTACCCTTTTATTCCAACCAAAAAGGCATAGCTATGTATTCAAAGGTTTAGTCTTGCAAATTAGGCTTAATTAGAGCCCTAGCCACAAAGTAGTTAGGCCTTGACAGATTTCGTCCATTTGGGTCTCAAACAGACTCTTATTAATTATCCCCTCAATCATTTGGAGATTTCAAAAATGGGCCAATCTATTACATATCCCAATAACGTGAAAAAGGGGACATACAGATTAATTAACAAACACAAATATCTTTACAACATAGCCTAAATTTACATCATAAAATGATCCAAAATCCACATTAGATTATAATAATCTAAAATATAAATTCCACTCATCATTTTGTTCATCCAGTAAGACAAATATTTGCGTTTAACTTTAATTGCATCCAAAATATTTGTCCAAAGAAGAATAGTCAAAATATTGTAGCCATTATTTTGAATCAAGAGACTATAATTATACTGCTTTTAACACTGACCATCTTGAACTATCAACATATTCGACATACTAAAGAACAGAATTGAAGAAGAATATTGCCACACCTGTAATTTTCTAACAGATTATAATACCAGTTACGATTACATTCAATGTTACTAAAATCTAGAATAAATAACAGATTTGCATGCTTTTGATTCTAAATGATCTTCAAACAAATGACCTAAAGCTATCCAAACTTCATATGTTCTTATTACCTTACATGCTTCTCATCAGATTTAGTCTTGGAGGGATTACATAATCACATTAATTCTACCGTCGATCCTCCAACAAATGTTCAAGCCTTGCAAACATCATTAGTAAGGAACTGTAAAGGAGCAAACATAGTTATTCAATTAAGAGACGGATGTTAGTTTAGTAACACCAGAGAGACATTTTAAGGTCACAAATCACTGCTAACAATCTGTCTTTAATACGCAAATCTATAACAATCTTCATATAATTATTACATTGAAGTCAACCATCTAATTTATGTTCAAAACCAAACAAACAACAAGATTAAACACTATAACAAATAACTTCAGAGACAAATAACCTATATTTCAATATGGATCAAAACAAAATACAAGTGAGAGGTGTGTACCTAAACTTGCAAATGAAGATGAATTTTTGCCAAGTAAACACCAAGTATTATAGCTAACGAAAGAGCTCAAAACATAGCAGCAGCAGAAATCAGGATGATAGTTTGAATCCCAAATAAACAACAAAAGAACAGCAACAATAAAACCAACAATTTCTTCAAACCAAACCAAACCAAACTTTGAACCCAGAAATGATGCAAGAATCCAAATAGATTTGAAACAGCTTTCAATCTTTCCTTTTTGACTATATCTCTCTGATTTTGGAGTTTTTTTTAACAACTATTAAACTCAGATTTCAAAAAAAAAAAACTAAATTTCTAGCAGTCGTGACTCTTTTTCTGTCTAAGTTCCCCTTAATGAATGAGAAAAGGATCCTTTTACAGAAGATTTTAGGGAAACAAAAACCTGATTTTCTAATTCACTTTTACCCGTCAACTTTTGTTATTTGACTCCTAGACCCCAAAATTTGAGTTGTTTCTAATTTCTTTGCAGAGACCGACGTTTTCTTTCTTCTAGAAACTTCTTTTAGTTTAACGAAAAAGATTCCCCAAGTCAAAACCCCTTAATCCTCTTTCTAAATCTTTATTTTTACTCTTTCTGTCAGATTTTAAACCAAACTCGGACTGGGCCTGCATTTGGGCCTGATTCTTAGCCCAATTCACACTCTCAACCCAAAGCAACTGATCCATTCTATTGAACCTATGCACCACCAGTTTTCAATTAAAAATAATTCAAAAGTCTAACTTGATCCTTATGAAATACAACTTGCTTTAGAATCAATTAAAAAACTAAAAGGAATGATGCGGCCAGTAAAAAAAATGAAAGTGGAACACTGGAAACATGGAAAGGTTGGGAAGTAAAATATACCTTCGAACTCCAAAAATTGGGTGACTGGAACTTGACCGATAGGTAGTGTTCGACTAGACCTCGGCGACATAGAAATGGGCTCAAACTAGTGTTTATCGATTGCTCGTGTTAAGAGCAATTGATTCTAGTAAGTTCGAGTCCAAAACGAGTAAAAGAAAACATCATAAAGAGATAACTTTAGGTTTTCTGTAATCTCAGATTTGAAATTCGGCAACCTTGGCGAGGATTTTGGGAAAATTAATGGGGGATTAGTTATAGGGGAGGGCTAAGGATTTTTTTGGTGAAAATATGGGGTGGTTTGGCGAGGGCCACTGCCGTGGGGCGATTTCCGGCAGCGGCGGGACAGAGAATGAATGAGATGAAGTGTGAGGAGGTCTCTAGGGTTAGGAGGGGAAATTTCAGATAGTCTTAAGGGGATGGGGGCTTCAGTTCACAGTCGTCTGATCTTGATCAACGAACGACCATGATTAAACGCGACAAAACGCCGCCATTTCATTTAGAGGGGGTGCTGGACTGAATTTCCGGGAAGTTTGGGCTTGGGGTGACTTAGGGAGAATGGGCTATTAGAATTTGGCCCAGTATTGTGAAGTGAAAAATGGCTTCTCTTCTTTTTTCTTTCTATTCGTTTCCTTTAATTTTACATCCTACTCAAATTAATTAAAATATAAATTAAATCCCAACTTAAATCTAATTTGTAGAATGAAACTTAATTATCTATTTATACAAATTAAATAATTAATTAACTTAAAACTAATGAGAGGAAATTACGAATTTAAAACTAAAAGCTAGAAATGTAAAAATGACTATTATTTTGTGATTTTTGTTTAATAATGCAATTAAATAACAACTTAAATCCTAAAAATGCAAATAAAAAATCTAAAATATAATGCATGAAATTTTTGAATATTTTATGGTATTTTCTATGATTTTAAAATATTAAATATGCACAAAATGTTGCTAAATGCAAATAAACAATTAAAGAGGAATTCCTGAAATTCTATAAATTCAAAAATTATTAGAAAAAATTTATTTTTGTGGATTTTGTAGGAATGTTTCACAGGGCAAAAATTACGTGTTCACAACAACCGCATTGTACAAGTGAATCCATAATTACGATAAAAATGAGTTAATTAAAAATAAAGGTGAATTATAGTTATTGGAAAAAGGTATGAGATTGCTGATGGAATTAATTATTGGAAGCCAAGAAATTATGCTACGCAAGTGAGTTCATAATTAGAATAAAATTACTAAAACAGACCTAATGATTGCTTAAAGCTAAAATTAATTAAGTGATTAAGTTATTGAACTATTACTATTTTTAGAAGAAACGGATTTTTATTGGAGTTGGTTTAAGAGAATAATATTTAGGGATTTTTACCTTCCTATATGCTATTTGAAACTTTATTTTCCTCCCTGCTCAAGTTTAATTTATTACATGGTCATATACAATTTACCAATTATATACAAATAAATTTTAAATGAGTATCCCTTTATATTAGGCATTGAATTACTAATATCAGTTATTTCCTTATCCTTTTATACTTTGCCCACTCTCTCTCTATCTCCGTATCTCTCTCTCTCTCTCTCTCTCTCTCTCTCTCTCTCTCTCTCTCTTCGTCTCTATACGCTTCTTCTCTGTTTTTTTCCCAATTTTTCTTCATTTTATTTTCTCTATTTTTTATGCTTTCTTTTTGTATAGTATTTTAATGGAATTCATCTAAAGGTTTCAATCATTTTAACTTAGCAATTTCCTTTCATGTTGCACAATTGGTGTTCAAATTGAAATTATCAATCAATAAAATTTGAGGGTGTTTCACTCTCCACCATTGACAGCCATTAAAAAGCTTTGAAGCTTTGAAATCAAATTTGGATTTTCAGAAACCATTATATGTTTGGATTGGGTGTTGTTGCAAACAATTGGGAATATTGTTGGGAGTTTATATCTCAATTTTGAGGGTGTTTGTTACGACCCAAAATCTACCGTCGCGATGGCGCCTATCGTGGAACTAGGCCAGCCTCAACTTAACAACCCATCATAGCAACAATAATTTTAAAGGTGGAAACGGAAGCATTTAACATTTAAAGAAAACGGTTTGAAAACATAAGAAATCCCAAAATTTGATATAAATCAGCCTAAAACCGGGGTGTCACAGAATACATGAACATCTAAATTAGAATACAATCCACTACAGTGTCTAAAGAAATAACTGAAATGCGACAAATGGTAAAGAAGGAGAGTCAAGGTCTGTGAACGCCGTACAACTACCTCAATAGTCTCCAAACTCTGAAAGAACTCAATCAACAACTGCCGCTGCGACCGGTATCGCCTGGATCTGCATACGAGGTGCAGGGGGTAACGTGAGTACACCAACTCAGTAGGTAATGAGTCCAAATTTTTGACTGAAAGGTAGTGAAGAACTCAACCAGTAAATTAAACATGGAAATAACTGTGCAGAAATGTAGGTATGCTTTAATTTCAATAGGTCGTTCAAAAGAGTAATGTAGAGTAGATACGAACATTGTAAAGAATATAACTCTGCTACCCCTAGATACCAATGCACATGTTATATGTGATGCACCATGCTGTCAACCTCATGGGCTCACACTCTCAAAATAATCAACCACTCGGTACTGTATATGGCTCATGTGGCCCAGGGAAGATTCATTCCGGAATATATACATTTCTGATATCAGTCACTCAATACCGAGGAAAGGCCAATCCAACCCTATGTAGAAGATCCATCTCCAAGTATCAAAAGCTTCTGACAAGATCCATGTCCAAGGAAGATTCATCCATCAATAATATCAACCGCAGTCACTGGGAGTATGTTATAGACTCCGGAGGGGATCCTACAGCCCAAGCGCTATCATAATCATCAATATAACCGTTGTGGCATGTAGCCCGATCCCATAACTTTTACTTATAATCAGGCTCTCGGCCTCACTCGGTCATCAATCTCTCTAGTATCACCCACAAGCTCACAATGTCATGAAAATAACCCGGAACAATGATATGATGAATCAATAAATAACTGAGCTGAGATATGATATAAAAATGCATGAATATGTCTGAGTACGGAATACTAATGAGATGGTAGCAAGAAACGACCACTAAGGGTCACAACAATACCGGCATAAAGCCTAAACATGATATCTAGTATGATTTACAGCTCAATTACTTTATCATAGGATGGAAACATGGATATTAGCAGGATAGGGTCACTAATCGGTGCCATGGAATCACCCATGTCACAATTCTCATGGTGCACGCCCGCGCTCCCTTCACTTGGCAGGTGCGTCACCAAAATTCTACTAACATAACACATAGTTCGGGGTTACGAACCCTCAGAACCAAGTTTGAAAGCATTACTTACCTCAAACCAAAAAATAATCCTACTCCGCAATGCCTTTGCCTCTTAAATCGGTCTCCAAATGCCCCGAATCTAGCCACAAGTAGTACAACACAATCAAAATATGCCAAAGGGAGCAATTCCACAAGAAAAGTACTAAATAATTGCCAAAAATCTGAAATCGGCCCAACCCCCTGGGCCCACGTCTCTAAATACGACAAAAGTCACAAAATACGACAACCCACTCGATTGCGAGACCAACCATACTAGTTTCTCTCAAATTAGACTTCGAATCTGCGTTCGAATCCCAAAAAATTAATTTTATGAAATCTCTACAATTTTCTCCAAATTTTTATCTCAAGCACTAATCGGATGATGAAATCTATGATTTATTCATGTATATTATCCAAACCCGAGTTAGAATTACATACTCTGATGAATTTCTTGAAAAACCCACAAGAAATTGTCACAAATCGAGCTCCCAAAGTCCAAAATGTGAAAATAAACCCTAAGCCTCGCTTGCATAGTACACTCTTTGAATCTTCATTGTGCGGTCCGCATAATTCTGCTCCGGCTGCAATCTGCCAATCTCTGCGATCGCACAAAAATCGTGCGGCCATACTTCTCAGTCCTTTTCCACTGCAATCCACATAAATCTGTTGTGTCCGCACTCCTCTAGTGCGGTCTGCACCTTTCTGGTGCGGTGCGCACTTCCAAGAGCATCAGATTAATATTAGAGTGTCGAAACCTATCAAATCACGTTCTATTGACTTCAAATTTTTTTCACACAAGTCATTAACGGCACCACAAACCTATTCCAACTTCCGGAAATCCAATCCGACCCCGATATCAGAATATTTACTACCGGCCAAAATTGCCAAAATTCCAATTTTCGTCAATTAAATCCTAATTCTAGTACGGACCTCCAAATCACATTTTGGACACGCTCTTAAGTCCAAAATAATCTAATGGAGCTAACGGCCATCAAAATCCAAATCCGAGGTCGTTTACACATAAGTCAACATTCGGTCAACTTTTCCAACTTAAGCTTTCAACTAAGAGACTAAGTGTTTCAATTCACTCCAAAACCACTCTGGACCCAAATCTCTAACCCAGTAAATCATAACACAATTGTAGAACACAAAAGAAGTAGAAAATGGGTAAACGGGGCTATAAGTCTTGAAACAACTGGCCGGGTCGTTACATCCTCCCCCTCATAAACAAACGTTCATCCTCGAACGGGTCTAGAAACATACCTGGAGCCATAAATAGGTGTGGATATTTGCTCCACATCTCCCACTTGGTCTCCCAAGTACCCTCCTCTCCACTGCACTTTTACTGAAGTTATATCCTTTGACCTCAACTTCCGAACCTGCCGCTCCAAAATAGCCACCAGCTCAACATCATAAGTCAAATCACCATCTAACTGGACCGTGCTGAAATCCAAAACATGAGATGGATCGCCGATATACTTCCGAAGCATAGAAACATGAAATACTGGATACACATTCGATAATCTAGGTGGCAAAGCAAGCTCATAGGCCACCTCCCCGATCCTCTGAAGCACCTCAAATGGCCTAATAAATCGAGGGCTCAACTTGACCTTCTTACCAAATCTCATAACATCCTTCATGGGGGAAACCTTCAGCAACACCTTCTCCCCAACCATATAAGACACATCATGGACCTTCCTGTCAACATAACTCTTTTGTTTTGACTGCGTCGTACGAAGCCACTCCTGAATCAATTTAATCTTGTCCAAAACATCCTGAACCAAGTTAGTACCCAATAGCCTAGCCTCACCCGGCTCAAACCAACCCACTGGAGATCTACACAACCTTCCACATAAAGCCTCATATGGATCCATTTGAATGCTTGACTGATAACTGTTGTTGTAAGCAAACTCTGCGAGCGGTAGAAACTGGTCCCATGAACCACCAAAATCAATGACTCAAGAACGTAACATGTCTTCCAATATCTAAATAGTGCACTCGGACTGCCCGTCCGTCTGAGGATGAAATGTTATGCTCAACTCAACCTGAGTGCCCAA